CACACACATAATGTGCATTCACACAGTCACAATGACACACACACACACACACACGCAGAAAGAGAGAGAGAGAGAGAGAGAGAGAGAGAGAGAGAGACATACACACACCTTTAAAAATCAAATGAAAAGAATTATCTATATTTACAAGTGGGAAGACAGTCTTTCTATGAAGAGATCAAATATAAAAGAATACAAAATCAATTCTAGCTAAAAACCAGCAAGTTAGGAAATGGCAAAAAGCTATATTTTGCTAGTTATGGTAGATGGAGTGGATGACAGGTGATAAGGTATAAATGAAAGATGGTGTCAGGTTGTAAGAGATGGGGACAGAGGAAACACTAGAGGTTTTGAGCAAGAAATGGCATGAGCAGATGCTATGAAGGTGAAGAATGGGGTGCAGTCCAATAGCCTCATTACTTATGGCTTATGGATGAAGATCACATTCAGTATTAATTCTCACCCAGTGGGAAGGGCTGCTGTGATCCAGCATCCACTCTAGATAGGCAGAAGTAAGGCTCTCACCACTTTCTGAGATTTTAGGGGGCAAGATGAAGACCTTTCCTAAGAAAATTGACTTTTTCCCTCAACTTTTGATTTAAATTAGGAGCAAGATTGTTTTACATGTTGATCCCAGTTCCCTCTCCCTCCCCTCCTCCCCTGCCCCCCACTAACACCCTACCTATCCCATACTCTTTCTGGAGAAAATTGACTTTTTAAAACATTTATTTCATTGTTATTTGTGTGTATGTTTGTGTGTGTCTGTGTGTGTGTGTGTGTGTGTGTGTGTTTGTGCATGTGTGCCCACACATGCACACGTGTTCATGTTCCCTAGGTGGTAGGAAAAGTTGTGGAATCCTCTGAGCTGGACTTAAGGTGGTTTTGGATTGCCTGACTTGGGTGCTGGGAACTAACTCCTGAGTACTACCAAAGCAGTACTCAAGGGCTGAGCTTCATCTCCTAGCCCAGATGAATAGATTTTTTTTTTTTTTTAGTTCTTAACACTGAAAAGTCTTTTTTTAAAGTTGTTACTGAATCTTTTTGGTGAAGGTTAAGTCTCCAGAAGCATTCCACCTCAAAGCCATTACCACCTTGTGGTTTATAGAGGACTTTCTAGTTTGTGTGCCTCCCTCACCCGTGTTTGTGCTTTCCTTAAGCCCCTTGAGGATGAGAAGATTTAGAATGGCTTTTCCCTTCCAATTCAGCTGCATCATCCATGCTTCCAGCCTTTGACAGAGAAGTCTCTTCCTTAGGGGGTCATTATTCTCTGTCTCTTTTTCCTTTCCTTCTCTCAAGAACCATCATTTAAACAAAATTGTAGAGACATCCAGCACACTCCATTTAAAATTGTGTATCATAATTGTGCATGACTTTATTTATGAGCTAAATAAATGAATTGAAAAAAAAAAGAGAACCATCATTTAGTTTGATGCTTTTATTTAGAGAACATAAGCACTTTACACACTAACTCTGCTTTCATTAGCAATCTCTGTCAGGATTAGCGAAGGTTTCTCATTACATAGACTTAAACAATAAGGGCTGGTTTCTCTCCTAAACTTGAGGTTTAGTAATTGAGCACTGGACCGCTGCCACACTCTCAGAACTCTATGGGGTTCTGCTTCTTCCACGCATCTGCCATCACTCACTTGGGAGTAGCTTTTGTTTTCAAGTCTGAGATGATTCAGGTACCACACTCCTCCCCATCAAAACAGCAAGAAGACAAAATGTTGAGAAGAGGCAGTAAAGGAAACCTTCTTGAGTCTTTGGGAAGGGTTCTTCAAGCACATCAGGATGTCTGCCCGTGTCAAACAGTGAGTCCGTAATAGCTACCTCTGACCATGTTACATGTAGGAAAATCAGCTAAGATACAGATTAGTTTGTGAGAAGATAAGACCAGATATCCTTGGAAATTAAAGTTAAAATGGTACAAAGAAGAAATACAGGTTTTAGACAGACAACTCACTATATCAGTGCGCTACATACAAATCCTCTTTCGGGTTACAGCCACCTCAGTTACCTCTCTTAATTAGTTTGCCCTAAAAATTGATGCAATCTCGATTCTGCCAGAAATTCCTCATTCCATTTATGGTTTAGGATCAAATGCAGTTTGTGAGTTTATAAGCATCTCACAAATGCACAGATATGAAATGTCGTCTTTTGAAGCATTAAGCAGGGCCCTGAGTCTAAACTAATAAAATTACTAAGGAAATATTTTTTTATATATGTCAGATCATAACTTATGAGAATTAATAAATACTGGGCTAGGGAGATGGCCCAGTGAATAAAGATCTTGGAGTACAAATGTGAGGACATGAGTGAGGACATGTGAGTCCCTGGAAACCATATAAAGCTGGGTGTGATGGTGTGAGAGTAATCCCAGGGCTATCGTGGTGAGATGGGAGGTGGAGATAAAACGTGTAAGCAGGCCACATAGTCTGGTATACATAGCTGGGAACAACCCAGAGACCCTGCCTCAAAATAAGGTGGAAGATGAGCACAGACACCTGGGGGTGCCCTCTGGCCTCCACATGCATACTGTGGTGTGTGTGTATCCATGCCTGTCAGTCATCCACATACACAAAGGAGAATATTTACTATTAATGCTAAATAACTCTATTTGTGAAACACTTCTAAGAGCATGGTGCATTTTTTTTTTATATAGACTTGTGCACTGTATTGTTACGCCCACTTTACAGATAGGAAACCAACCAATGCATGGAGGGCAGGGTACATGGAGCTCAAAACCATAACACTCTGAGTGGCTGTTCTAGAAACATCCACCTTCAAAAGTCTCTATCTTTTAATCTGTGTTGTTGCTCTAGTCTTTGTGTGCCCCTCGTCTCCTGTCCTTTTGGTAAAATCCAAATCTCTATCATTAAAAGGAGGCTTGTTTATTGACCTGTTGTGCTTTCTCATTTCTCGAAAGCATGAACCCACCCTTCTGTTTTCCTAAGTGTCAGCTTCAGTCTTGTGTTCTGTGTGAGACATTTCCTTCCACAACATACAAACTATATACGAAGAAGTATCTATTCATTTGATTATAGACATATATTTTACACTGTATTAAGTTACTCTATATGTCTTGACTTTCTCTCCTTAAGCAGACTCTCTTATATATCTTAAGCAATTTAAAATGTGCAAGATCAATGTTGAGCCTATAGGAAGAACTAAAATTAGCTCAGCTCTAAACTGAACCAATGATTAATCCTTAAGCAACTATTGTAGTCTACACTTCCATGACAAATGAGAAATAAGTCTTAAGGAGGCAGAGACATAGCCAGTGTCAGCAACTAGGAATATCCAGTCCTGCTACAGGAAGCCTGTAGTCTAAGGCTTGATCCTCTGCAAGTGTAACTAAACATGTGGCTGAAATCTAAACACTATGCATGTTTGTGTTTGTGCTGTGTGTACAGATAGCTTACTGTCTTAAGCAGAAGAAAACCCAGGTGGAAGCAATTGGGTTAATTTATGGGCAAACTCTATTAAACTTAGTATCAGAACTGAAGGAATTTTGTATGTAGATAGTGTGTATGAGCTCTGCTAGTCAGTTTATTAAAGAGAACTGCAAGGGATTCTTTTACAAATGTAGCCATGAGATATTTAGTACCTCCCTGTAATGCCATCTACAGAGTCTAACTAGGTGGGTGGTTGCTTCCCTCCTGTGTGTGATGCATGTATTTTCAGGGTCATATTTTCTACTAAAGCCAGGGCCATGACATATACTTTCTAACAAGACATTACTAGAAGGAGCATAGTTCCAGTCTTTGTCTTTTCTGGTCCATGTATTTGCCTTTTTCTGGGTGAACATATTGGCTTAGTATTTTGGGTTATAGGCAACTTGAACACATAAAGATGACAATATTCCTGCCTTATTTTAGGTTTTAAAAATCAACTTGCCAACTTAATTTTTAATATTTTATATAGTCCACTTTTGTTTAGCTATGATATATATCTGTGTTGCTCAAACTATCTATAAATTGCCTGTCCACTTTGTCTTAGTTACTGTTCTATTGCTGTAAAGATACACCGTGGCTAAGGCAACTTATAAAAGAAAGCTTTTAACAGGGGCCTCTTTCACAGTTTCAGAGTGTGTGTCCACTGCCACCATGGCAGGAAGCAGAGCACCTATCAGGTAGACCTGGCATTAGAGCAGTAGCTGTGGGCTCATATCTGATCCACCAGCAGGAGGTGGAGTGAGTGAGACTGGGCCTGGCATGGTCTTTTGGAAATTCAAAGTCCATCCCCAGTGACACACCACTCTTCTTCCAGTAGGCCACACCTCCTAACCCTTCCCCAAGCAATCAGTCCACCTATTTGGGATCAAAAATACACATATATGGATCTATAGGGGCCACTCTCATTCAAACCACCACATCGTTTATCAGTATATCTTCATTTCCAGGCAAAGATTCAAAATATCAAGAGTAAATTCTCCCCACTGTTGCTCCATGTTAGTCCATGATTGTGTTCACTGTTTATGCTCAAGACTTTTCCAGGATTACAGCAAGAAGACATGGTCTGTCATGTTTCAAAGTTAATATTTTACTGTTACTTAGGAAGAATGGCTGCTTTCATTATTGAGAGGTTATTGTTGCAAGTTATTCATTAGAAAGATAACCTGCTGTATTTCATGTGTTTATTTTGAGGAACAGAGATTCTAGACATTCCAATCCATGTAGGCCCTTACAGTCCTTCTAATCTAGCATTTTTGTTCCGGTTGAGTCACATACCTCACTGGAGCTTGTATGAGTAATTAGTGGTGTTGCAGAGGCAAGCCAAGGCAGTGTTGTTCCCCTTGCTGTTTTAATTCTTCCTCCCTCCTTCCATCTCTCTCTCTCTCTCTCTCTCTCTCTCTCTCTCTCTCTCCCCCTTTGTCTCATCATTATTTTCCATACTATTTCCAAAAAATAGATTTTTAACACTGAAAATTGTAGATTATAATGAGCAAGATGATTTATTCACAAAGTCACTAATCTTTCCCTGCCTTTTTCTTTTTCTTCTAGCTCTCTTCAATCTAATTCCTGTGGGACTGCGTGTAGTGGCCATCCAAGGCGTGAAAGCCAGCCTCTATGTGGCCATGAATGGGGAAGGTTATCTCTACAGCTCAGTAAGTAGCGTGTGTGTGTGTGTGTGTGTGTGTGTGTGTGTGTGTGTGTGTGTGTGTGTAGAAATCATTGTTTTAACAAACTGATATCACCTTATATTTTTAAATCGGATTAGTTTTCCGGACTATAGCAAAGATTTTGCCATTTTTGGTATTAAAGATCGTGCCCCAGTGAGTGAAAATAAACCAGTTACTTTCATTGTTATGTATTCTTACAAGTAGTTTTGACTTTCAGAGGGTGCAGTTTGGAATTTACCTGTAATACACTTTCTTGTTCCTGTGTTCACTCCCCTTCAAGAACAGAAGATGGCTTATGGAGGGTCTTCTTTATCATATTGTAGAGAAAAAATTTTCATAGACTCTGCTTTTTTTGTGCTTAATAAGTTCTTGTGGTGTCCAAAGTGTCATATTCTCTAACTTACAGACATTGTCTAATTCAAAAACAATGGATGTGCAGAATGAGCTCTGTAGTAGGAGCAGCAACATCAGTGTATTTTGCACATATCAGTATAGAGGTGTGTGTGTGTGTGTGTGTGTGTGTGTGTGTGTACACAAATAAGTTTTCCTTGTTACCCTAATTTCTGGCGTTGGTTCCTCTCTTTATACAATCTCTTCAAATCTACACATGACAAACTGTGTAGTACCAGTGGCTCTACTGTGGGCATGGACATTCTTTTTAGCATTAAGTTAACACTATCCTGGTATTCTATCTCAAACATTTCAGTTCATGCACTGAAAAATGTAGCTATTCTGAATAATTCATGTTTTTCACATGGGAATGGCCTGTTTGTGATTCATAAAAAAAAATATCCCTTGGAAAAATCACAGCTAAAGGGTTTTACCCATTCTGTAATCTTGGTCACTGTACAGACTAGGAAATTCACCTGTGTTTTGCAGCTGTGGCTTAAACACTGAGTAGTTCCAATAACTATTAAATGAGTATCACATACATTATATTTGCTTATTAGTAATGCATCTTTCATCATATTATATTAAAGCTATCATCTGAATGTCGTGGTAACAGATAGCCCAGTTACTCTGATGGGATCATTACGTGTTGTTTGCCTTTTTTGCTATGTCACATGGTCCCTCATAAATATGTATAATTATTGTGTTATTTAAAACACAGAATAACTTAAAAAGATCAAAGGTGACAGTCTACTTCTGAGCATATTCAGATCTGGATATTCCTTTATATAAAGTATATGTGTACACATATGTCCAGGGTAATTACCAAAATAATATTTAAAGATAGAAACATTTCGGCCTAAGTAACAAGCATTAATTTTTCATGCATTGTGTTAGATACACTAACAGCTTTCACATAAAATCATCAGGAAGCCCCTTAAATTTTTCTTTAATTTTTTTTCAACACCAGATATTGAACCTAGGGACTGGCACATGCTAGGCAAGGGCTCTACCACTAAGCTATAGCCTCCATGCTTCACAAATTCATTCAAAATAGAAGAATCAAAACAAGAATAAAAAAGGGTATTATGTTGAATAATTCAAGTTAGCTAAACAGCAGCAACACCCAAATTGACTGGGATAAAAGACTGATAGCTGGGAAACCAGCATGGGACTGATCCAGACACCATGAACGTGGGTCTCAGTGAGGAGACTTTGGAAATCTATGGGGCCCCTTGTAGTAGATCAGTAATTATCCCTAGCATAGGAATGGACTTTGGGAGCCCATCCCACATGGAGGGATATTCCCTGAGCCTAGACACAAGGGGGTGGGCCTAGGCCCTATCACAAAGGATATGACAGATTCTGAAGACCCCCATGGAAGGCCTCACCCTCCCTGGGGAGCAGAAAGGGTATGGGATATGTAGGGTGTTAGTTAGGGGGGGCAGGGGAGGAGGGGAGGCAGAGGGAACTGGGATTGACATGTAAAATAATCTTGTTTCTAATTTAAATAAAAATGGAGAGAAAAATGCTTAAAAATAAAAAAGATTAAAAAAAAAACAACTAAAATGTGGAGATGACTGGGGATGGAACTAAAGATTGAATAAGACTTCACATAAGAATGTAAAGGCTCTGGGTGCCAGAGGGCACAATGTCACTGTAGGGCTTTGGCCATTGAACTAGAGTTGATTTTCATTGGCCCATGGTTTGTGTATAGAATGGATGGGCAAAGTGGGTGTGTGTGCAGGTTTGTTCAATTTTCAGAACTGTATTCTTCTTGTACTTCTTATTTAGAAATGAAGCTAAGTGCATGCATTTGCATCTGGGGTCTGTGGGGCATAGAGGTTTAAAGAAACTTGCAGTTTCGATTGCAGTCTTGATTTTTAAAAATAGACCCAACTCCTTTGTAAATTTACATGCTTTGGTACGTAAGATTGCTTTTGTCATACATAGAATCATAGCACTGTCTTTTCGAGGGTACCAGGGGCAAGTGTTCTATAAGTATAAGTAGATTGTTACTGGCATAGGTCATCTGATTCTATTCTCTTTAAATGCCCTATCTCTATCCCGGACTGGCAGGGTGAATACTGGTTTAAACAGCCTCTAATGGGACTATAGGGACCAACATTAGCAGATACAAGCCCCATCACACTCCGTACTCCAGTTCCTCTGTCTGGTGTGTTGCAATGTGAGACTGACTCAGAGGCCTTGTGGTGAGTTCAAAGGCAATCACTAACCCCAGCTTTCCCGGGGTGTGTTTGCTATGTACTAAATCTTGAAGTTATTTGAAAAGCAGCTTCCTGTTTCCTGTGACCAGAGCAGTAGAGCACATCATCAAGGACCACCGAGAGATGTGTGGAGGGAGGGTTGGTGGTGAACAAACTGAAGAAGTCCTACAGAAGCTGGATCCAAGAGGAATGCAGTGGTGCTACCTTGTCCATACTGTCTATTTCAGGTTTCTGTTTAGATGTAAGCTGGAGGTCTGTTCCCTTGCCACCCTTGAGTTCTCTTCATTTTCTAATAAGCAGGAGAAAAGAAAAGTAGTGAAGGTGGGCTGATTGCTAGGTACTGTAGATGGAGCTAAATTGTTGGAGTCTGTTCTCAAAATCCAGGCAAACTAATTTATTTATCTATCTGTATATGTCTCTATATCTATCCTGTATATCTATATCCATCTTTAGCATCTGTATTCATATTCATATCTATTATCTGCATCTATATCTTTATATCATCTATATCTGTATCTATATAGTTTCTATCTATAGCGGTATCTATCTATATGGAAATCTCTGACATGGTTTTGACATATCTGGATTTGTTTTTTTTTTAATCATTGTATTTTTCATGTTTAAACATTACCTTGATTTTACTTTTTAAACTCTCAGGCATTACTGAAATTTCCCCAATTTTTCTGTTATTCTTCTATACATAGTCTGTATTTAGTTTCCTTTCATGGTTGCTTCTAGTTTTTAGTTTATATCTATCCATGATTACATAGATTGATAAATATTTTTGTGTTTCTGTTTTCTAAACAGCTTATGAGCTGTAGGATATTTCCTGGGCTATTAAAACACATCTCACTCACCAATCTGGATAAATGTATTTTAAAGCAAATTATTTGTATGTAGATAGTGATTAAATTTTACCAGACTTGGAAAATAATTTCTATGAACAGTTTTTTTTTTGTGTGTGGCAAATTTAGTCTTGCTGTGTCTATTCTTTCACCAAAATACACACTTCATTGTTCTTTGTGTGAGGGTCTCTATGTAGTGACTTCTTAGGTTTGTGTAAGGGTCTCTGTGTAGGAGGTAATGTGTTGCCTCGTGAATTCATGCACACGCTTCCTTCCATTACTCTCTTTGACTGTAGTCCACTTATTGTAAGCCTCTCACTGTACAGGTATGTCCCCTAGTGTCCCCTAGCATCCATGACATGATATCCCATTGCTTGCATCTGTTGTTGAATGTAGGAATTTGTTGTCAACTTAATATTTCCTTTTAGGTAATCTCTGTGGAAACAGAAAAAAATATTTTCACTTTATATTTCCTGCTCTTAAACTGCCTTTACCTACTGGAGATTTGTAACGAATTTACAATTGAAAGAGTTCTAGTTCTTCAATTTAAAAAAAAATGAACTTGTATAGCATATCCATTTTATCTCCCACCATACTTTCCAGTCTTTTATCATGTTTTTGTGATGTAAATTAAAAACATTCAAATTCATTGTGTTCAAATTTTATACTGTTTTGTGATTTCAGGCATGGTGTTTCTCATTTCAGAATGTTGAGCGGCTTCTATTAATATCCTCCTGTCCTTGATTTATTCCTTCCTGTTTTTATTGTGTGGCATTTTCCACTTTTTACAGAAAGTTATTCTCTTATCTCTTCAAGTGTTTCTAACATAATTGGTCAGTGTTTTCCATAGTTATGAATTCATATTTTAGGCATTAATTTTCTTAAGTGTCACTTTTTAGTCACATTCAGGCTAGATTTTAGAATTAATTCTTTAAGTGTTCTGGGATTTGGCTTTGGAGCATGTTTTTTCCCTTTATCTTTGATAGTTCTTTCTGTGAGGTCTCCTGTATTGTTCTAGCAACTATTGGGTAGCTTCTATCCAGCTGCCAGTATCCCTAGTTTAGAGTTGTTTTAAGGCATTCCCAAAATGTCATCCTAGGGTAACAGTTGGGTGAATGCAGGAGCCTGGATTGGTCTAGCTGCTCTTGTTGTAAGAGACTGCACTGTGTTTTTAGGAAGGAGCATCAGCTTTTTTCACTGCATGGTACCCCAGGGGAGCAAGGCCCTGGTACTCACTTTGCACAGAAGAATTTTACTTCGTTCAGCTAACTTGAGAGAAGTCTAGGCCAAATGACTTTCTTCAGGACCTGATGCCAGGCTGGCCCGAAGCTGTAGCTGGTGTGTGCCATTTCTATTCCATGGGAACACTGTGCTTGTTATGATAGTGCTGTTTCTGCCAGCGCTGGCTAGGTCTCGAGGTTTGCATTTTACTGTCCTTGTTCTCTATTTGGAAAGAGGGGGTACATGATACTGTGGTCAAACAATGAATCTCAGTCTCTCTCCCTCTCTCTCTCTCTCTTTC